GGGTTTGGAGTTTAGGGTTTGGGGGATACGGTCTAGGGATTAGTTTAGGGTCTAGGGTGTAAGCGTCAGGCTTGTGGGCTTTCAGTTAAGTGGCTTGCTCCAGGGAAAGTGCTGTAAACTTGGGGTTTAGGGATAGGGATTCGGTTCTGGGTGGTTTTGAATCCTCAGGGTATGAAAGATTTCACAGAGATTTTTGAGCTGTGGCGCATAGAACTTCTGTCGGGATTTGGGATTCTAGGGTCTACGGCCGCCACGGTTTTTGGGTTGAGGAGGTTAAAGGTTTCAGGGATTACACTTTCACTGCTTAGGTTAAGGCATTAAGCTAAAACCTGCTAGTTGAAGCTCGAAGCCCTGTACACTGAAGCACCAAACCGCGCCTCATGGGCGTGGAACATGGGATGCACACAGCCGGTGAAGCCTACACCAATGGCCACAAAGAGTAGGCGATGGACGTCCTTAAGGAGTTCCTCCTGACCAAATGTGCCCAAGGTGTTCATGGGTCCAGCCACCTCGAGGTGAATCGGCTCCTCGGGAGACATTTAGGAGTGTAAATTTGGGTTCAGAGTCTCTGAACTTATTGTCCCTCCTCTGTGCCCTCCCGTGCGCGGGCGTGGTCGTACAGGCGGTGGGCCCAGTTCTGCTTCTCGGCATTCGGCTGTAGTCGGATGTGGTACTCCACCTGCCAGCGGTTGCGCCGGCTGGGTGATGGATACGCGATCTGCGTCAGCGGATGACGGCCATTCACGCCCACCACCTGAACTCATGAAAGCCACAACCAATGGACAGCAGATGTCATGCTCTTCCGTCAAGAAGTACCGTTTCGCAGCAAACCATACTGTGTTGCATCCCTCTTTCCCACTGCATGCTCTCTCTCTCCCTCTCTCTCTCTCTCTCTCTCTCTGTCTCTCGCGCTCTCGCCCTTGTTGCTTCTTTTTTTTTTCTCTCCCTCTCTCTCTCTCTCTTTCTCTGTCTCTCTCCCTCCCTCTCTCTAAGAATTCGTAGCTATCTATCTAGCTAGCCAGATAGCTATATACATACACAGATGTGCACGTCGGCTGCTACCGTCTTGAGAAGGAGGTCGACCTGCAGCAGCACCGCACCCGGCTCGGCTTCGACGAAGGTGTCCTGGTGGGAGGATCAGGGTACTCTTTAGGCTTTGGGTTTAGGGTTAGGGTTTACTTAGGGTTTCTATACTGAACTTAGACCCCTAGCAACAATTATATTTTCAGCTGCTTCTTAGGGTTTATAGTAGCCAAAGATTAAAAATCATTTCTAAGTACCCCTAAGGTTTAGGGTTTGGGGTTTCAGGGTTTAGGGTGCGTAGGGTGCAGGGATACGGATGACTGTCGGATTGGCAGGCATCCAGATAGGGTGTTGGGGCATATTCGGCACTAGGTATGATAAAAAAAAACCAGCATAGTACTGGTAATGATTTAGGCCCCTGGCCCTAGACCCTAGACCCTAAACCCTAAACCCTAAACCCTAAACCCTAGACCCAAACCCCTCCCTCAACCCGGACCCAAAGAACAAGAAGGATGCATCGTTGGTCTGCAGGTCCTCTGAGCGCAACACAAGGATCGCTCCATTGAACTGACCTGAACCATGCCCAGTTTAGGGTTTAGGGTTTTTTTTTGGGTTTAGGGTTTAGGGTTTAGGGGTGCACCCATATCTGCATGTATACGTGTACAGTTTAGGCGTTGTTAGGGCTTATCTTGACAAAGAGACAACCAACTAGATCATGGACTGATCTATCTACCCATCAAGCCATCCATCAACCTATCCATCAAACTATCCATCTGTCTATCTGTCTGTCTATCTGTCTATCTATTCACCTTCCTCCCTGCCCCATGCCTACCTACCTACCCATAATAATGTGCTCGTTTCCATATAAAAAATAAATAAATATATATATATATATATATATATATATTTATTTATTTATTTATATACTCTCTCTCTCTTCTTTATGCATTTACTTATTTACTTGTGTATTTCTCGTTTTTGTAGTTGTCTATTGAACTTATTCATGTGATTGTTGTTCATTTTTCCACCAAATTTGCAGGTGTATTATCCAGCATCTTAGATGTACACCCGTGGCTGTTTAGGTCCCTAAACCCTAAACCCTAAACCCTAAACCCTAAATCCTAAACCCGAAACCCTAAACCCTAACCCCGAGACCCTAAACCTTGAACCCTGGACCCTTTAAATCCTAAACCCGAAACCTTAAACCCTAAACCCTAAACCCGAAATTTAAGGAACAGGGTATGCACGGCCTTGAGCATTCAGCATCTTCACGATCCGCTGGCCGCAGCCTGCGTTCTTGGTAGGGGGTCTCGGTTTTTAGGTTTTTAAGCTTTAGGGTTTAGGGTTTAGGGTTTAGGGTTTAGGGTTTAGGGTTTAAGGTTTAGGGGTTAGGGGGGAAATCCTCTGATTTACTATAGAACCCTAGCTTTAAGTTACTGTAGTAAGGAAACCCTATTCTTGACTATAGATCCCAAACATGGTAGCTTAAGTTGTTTCACTTACCACCATGAGGAAACTCTAGTAATAGTACTTAAAAATTAAACCCCGAATATGGCAACTTCCCACTTACTACAGATCTCTAGTAAGGACATCCTATAATTTACTGTAATACGGTAGCTAAAACCTAAACCCTAAACCCTAAACCCTTAATTTTTAGTTCCTTAGCATAAGCCCTAAAGCCTAAACCCTCAATTTTAAGTTCCTTAGCATAAACCCTAAACCCTAAACCCTTAATTTTAAGTTCCTTAGCATCAACCCTAGACCCTAGACCCTAAACCCTAAACCCTTAGTTTCTGTAGTTTTAAGGTCCTTTCAAGAGCCCAGCAGCTGATTTGGCTGGCCCGGGATCGCTTGACGGTCCGGTCAATCATCCAGAGGCATAGGATCCTGGGCTCTTGCTATGGTTTAGGGTTTAGGGTTTAGGGTTTAGGGTTTAGGGTTTAGGCTTTAGGCTTTAGGCTTTAGGCTTCAGGCTCTAGGCTTTAGGGTGTAGGGCTTCGGGGGTTTAGGGGTTTAGAGCTTTAGGGCTCTTGTTCTATGAGGTTTTCTGGCAGGTGTGCGGGGGCTCCATGGGGTGTAGAAGAACGTAGTTGAAGTTGAGATGATAGAGATCTGCAGGAAACAAGTTACCCAGAGACTCCAAAACCCTTAATTAAGGAATATACCTTAAACCTTATTAGGGGTCCTACTATAATTTAAGGTATCTTCCTTAATTAAGGGGTGTTGGAGTCTCTGGTTATCATCCCAACATACGTCCCTAATGTGGATATCCTCAGGAAGAGCCGAGGATCAGGGACATGAACCACCAAAGCCTTGGTGGGCCGAAGTTGCCGGTGAAGCCATGCAGGCCAGCCAGCACCAGGAGCAGGGAGCCCAAGACGCGCTTGTTGCGGATGAAGAAGTCGTAGCACTGCCTTTCTCATGGCCTAAACCCTGCAAGCCTAGAGTTGAAAACCCCAAACCTTAAAGCCTAATATAGGGGCCTTCATAGTTACCTATACGACTTTAGGGGTTCCTTATTATAACTACAGTATTATGGACCCCAAAATCCTATTGTAATTATTAAGGCCCCTGTATTTCACCGTGAGCCTGGCCTTTTCATGGCCCAAAACGAAATGTAGAGGATGAGGCCCAGGAGAAGGATCAGAACGCCAGTTCCCCATGGCCAAAGCCAGGCATACGTGTTCCCCCCCCAGAGGACGGTGGTGTACTGCTCCACGCTCCCCGCCTGACTTCGGGTTGAGGCTACAGGTGTAGGCTAGGCTTAGTTAGGGATCAGGCTTCTCAAAGCTATAGGGTTTAGGGTTTAGGGTTTAAGGTTTAGGGTTTAGGGTTTAGGGATTTAGGATTTATAGGGTTTAGGGTTGAAGGGCTTAGGATTCACGGTTTAGGCTTTGAGGGTTTAGGATTCAGGGTTTAGGGTTGAGACTTTAGGGTTTAGGGCTTTGGGGAAAGGTTTTTCTTGTGAGTTTAGAGTTACAACCCTAAACCCTAAACCCTAAACCCTGAACCCTAAACCCTAAACCCTGAACCCTAAACCGTTTACTTCCGGCCTTGACAAATGACCAGATGTGGCCGGCAGCGTGCAAGATCACCGCCAGCACAAAGAGGTGTGCAGCATTCCTGGGCCCGGGGCCCCAAAGGTTTAGGGTTTAGGGTTTAGGGTTTAGGGTTAAGCAATTTCGATGATTTTCTACGCCGGGGTTTAAGGTTTAGGGTTTCTACGCTGGCAACTTAAGTTTGGGCTCCTTTCAAGAACCCACCCAGCACCTTATATTATGATACCTAAACCCTAAACCCTAAACCCTAAACCCTGAACCCTAAACCCTAAACCCTAAACCCTAAACCCTAAACCCTGAACCCTAAACCCTTATAAAATCACATCAAGCTTTCGACCCAGACTCCGGTGGTATGTGATGAAGGTCAGGCCCTCCCCCGGCCACATGGGGACAGAGACATTGGCGGCCTAATTCATGGGCTTAGGGTTTAGGGTTTAGGGTTTAGAGTTCAGTGGTTTAGAGTTCAGGTTTAGGGTTCAGGGGGGTTATGGGTTTATGGGTTTATGGGTTTATGGGGTTTAGGGTTCTGGGCTTCAGGGTTTAGGGTTGAGGCTTAGGCTTTAGGCCTTCGGGCGATTTAGGGATGGTGGCCTTATTCACAAGGTTGACCATGAATGGGAGGACCGTCACGAAGAGGGCCGGCATGGCGAAGTACATCATGCCGGCTCCACCCTTCGGGATTCTTGTTCAGGCACAAAAACGTTCTGTTCAAAAAGGCCAATAGGGTTTTAAGAGAGATTTTCAGGAACTTACTACTAGTTACTACACTGCTACACAGAACCATATTACTAGCTCTATCTCTATATATATATATATATATGTATGTGTGTGTGTGTATGTGCATGTACATGCATGCGTTCGCACATACCTTGAATATTTATGTACTTGCACGTACGTACATATACACGTACACGTACATAGACGTATGCATATATATATATATAAACATATACACCAATAACTACAAAGGTACAGCAACATATACCTGCACAAATATACGAATACCTATATCAATGTACATACATATACACGTGCATATACATAATCTGGTACATTTACATAAATATAGAGACATTATTAATGATATTAATGTCGAATATTAAGTTCATGGATTAAACACACCTCCCTATTACGATCTCCTAATTACAGAATAAAATCGCGAACACCTCTCTATGATGGTCACTCGAATCGCCGATTCCTACAACCTTAACCCTAAACTAAAAACCCTAAAAACTCTAAAAACCCTAAAAACCATAATAAAAGCCCAAAGAATCTATGTCCCAGCCTTGGCCAGCGCCAGAGCACCCCCGCCGAGCTCTGCGACCTTCCGACCGGCCGGGGAAGCGGCGAAGAGGATGGCGCGCGCGCCCCAGGCCTTTGGTAGCTTAGGGTGTAGGGTTTAGGGTTTAGGGTTTAGGGCTTCCCTGAAGGGTTCCTTTTAGGAACCTTCAACGGGCCTCTAGTAGGAACCTTTAAGGTGCCAGAAGGAACCTTTACAGACGATATCAGGGGTTCAGGGTCTTGGGTTTAGGGTTTCGGGTTAAGGACAGGACGTTTAACGGTGCTAGAACAAGCTCCTGCAAGGGCTTTATGGCCTTGGCTGTCAAAACCCTGGCTCCTTTCAGGGTATTGTAGGGCTTTTGGGTTGGGCTTAGGATCCGGGTTTTGGCCTATAGAAGGCTTCAGGACCTAGGGTTTTTTTGAAGGTAAGGTTGAAGGGTTTAAGGTTTGGCGTTTAGGGCTTGTTTTTTCCGTTCAGGGTTTTTAATGCCTCTGCTACCACAACAGGGCTGTAGACAGATAGACACGCAGATAGATTCTCGATCGATGGACAGGTTGATCGCTAGATTGACAGACTGACAGATAGATGATAGATAGGTTAATAGATCGATAGACCGACAGGCCCATGGATCAGTTAGATAGACAGATGGATGGATAGACATGATAGACAGGCTAGCTAGCTAGATAGATAGTTAGATAGATAGATAGATAGATAGATAGACAGATAGATAGATAAGTAGATAGGTAGATAAGTAGACAGTTAGATAGGTAGATAGGTAGATAGAAAAATTGACAGATGGATGGACAGACGGATAGATGGATAGATGGATAGATGGATAGATGGATAGATGGATACATGGATAGATGGATAGCTAGCTAGCTAACTGTATAGACGGATAGATAGACAGAGAGGTAGGTAGATGGGCAGATAGGTACATAGGAAGCCAGGTAGATAGGTAGCCAAGTATGAAGGCAGAGAGGTAAATTCTGACATTGATGTTCATGCACTTACTCATTCAGTGATTTGTTTAAGGTAGATTCACAGCCTTGTCTCACTTCAGCAGCTTGAACAAAGTTCCTCAAACACCACCCAGAGGCCCCAAAGAGAAAGGTGCCCAGGTAAAGGAAGAAGAGCACAAGGCCGTTGTTGAAGCCACAGGCCCGGAGGTCGTTCATGGTTTGCTGGGGAGCACGCTTGTCGATGGTACCTGCAAAACCCCAGAAAAGGACCTAAAATGAAGGGAAGTAAGAAGGGGCCCTACAAAGAAACTATTAGAGGAACCCCTTAGAGGAGTCCTTTAAGGCCAATTCCGGACAATCCTAAACCCTAAACCCTAAACCCTAAACCCTGATTGTAAGATCCGTGTGATGAGGAGTCCTTTCGGGCCCCGGTACCGGTGATGATCAGCGTGACGGGCAGCCACTGAGTGAAGAGGTCGTTTAAGGTGTCCATCTCGGCATCAGTGAAATCCTGACTCGGTTTGGGCGTAGGGTTTAGGGCCCCGAGATACCCACTCAGCAATCTCAAAAACAGTCGTGGCGGTATGGCCGGACAACCCGGAATGAGTACAGCGACCCTGCACCCGAAAGCCTGAACCCTAAAGCCTGAACCCTGAAACCCACACCAAATCCGAGACCCAAAGCCCCTGCATCCTGCGAGAAGACGTCTGGCAGCACCACCCCCCGCGCCACGACGAGGAAGTCGGTGGAGGTGCCCAAAAAGATAGCCACGGCCATCATCTGGCTCAAGGTGGCCATGTTGCTCCTCTATGGGTTTAAGGGTCTTAAGACTCAAGATTCAAGGTTTAAAGCGCAGGATCTACGGTTTTGGGCTCCTGGTTTAGGATCAGAAGTTTAGAAAGCTAGAGTCGGAAAGATGGAGTTTACGATTGTTTTAGGATTTGGGTTTAGGTTTAGGGTACGAGTACCACAATGACAAGCCGGCAGACAGACACAGCAAAGACCTGCCCTACACTCCACGACAAGTTAAAGGAACATCATTCCAACTGACAGGGCCCCTGTCTCATAGATCCCTTATAGAACCCTTGTAGTAACCCGTATAGAACAGTTGCCGAGCTGCTCAAGGCTAAATAAAACAGGAGCAACTCGTCCAAGCGAAAACACAGCGAGACACCGGTTTGGCATTAATATTTGAGATTCGGTTTAACCCTAAACCCTAAACCCTAAACCCTAAACCCTAAACCCTAAACCCTATTAAATTCAGCCCACTGCTCCTCATCTGTGCGCTGAGGCGTTCGTTCAGAGGGTGCTCCAAGTACGCACGCGCCCGAAGGAAGTGGGCCACGCACATCAGGAACCGGTAGGAAATGCGTGAGAAGCGGGCTAAGGTGGAGAGCCAGCGAGGCGCCCCGTAGCCCGCCAGCAGCACACCGCTGTGATAGACCCGCAGCCCAATCAGGCATGCCTTATCTGAAAGCAACTGAAAGCAAAACAAAACCTCTGCCAAAGGTTGGCATCCCTGTCTAAACCAAAACCCGAAGCCCTGCACCCAACATTCTACTCCTCCCACATCCCAGGGCTTCAGGGCTGAGGGGTTCAGAGTTAAGGGGGTCTCAGGATGTCAGGTGTGGAACTTGGGCTTACGGACTCTTAAAATGCTCCTAAACCCCTAAACCCCTAAACCCTAAACCCCTAAACCCCTATAACTTCAAATCTAAAGCATCGAAACGCTTCCCAAAGCTTCGGAACCCTGCGAGTAAAGCGGAAGCTTCTCAGCCCCCAAGCAATCATTCGGTTAAGGGCTCAGGGTTTAGGGTTCAGGGTTTAGGGTTCAGGGTTCAGTTCAGGATTTAGGGTTTAGGGTTTAGGGTTTCGGGTTAAGGGTTTAGGAAAAAGCAGAGAACTCTCATCACCCAGCTACTAACAACATCTGCCGAATCGACAACAAGCACAACCCTTGAAAATGCTACAGAATTTGCAAAACTATGCAGGCCCTAGCAAAGACACCCAAGAAAAAAAAACAAAGCATCCTGATTCAGAAGACAAAACACCAAAGAAACCTTATCAAAAGAAACGGCTCTACTTTGAACGCCGAACCCTAAACCCTAATCCCCAAACCCCTAAACCCAAAAACGAATGAAAGCACGGCGGCCGCGACCCAAACACAGGCGCAAGCAGCCGGAGGGGGCTCAAATGGCCGGTCCTGCTGCGGTCTGCTGGAGGGCGTTTAGGGCTTTTAAATAAAGGTTTTGGGGTTTTAGGGTCAGGGTTTTAGGATTTAGGGGTTTAGGGGTTTACGGTTTAGGGCTTAAGGGTTTAAGGGTCTAAGGATTTGGGGTTTAGGATGCGGGGTTTAGGGTTTAAGGCAGTTGGGGTCGCTGTACGCCTTGCGCTTAAACGCTAAGGTTCATGGGGTCTTCAAGCTGAGCATAGTGTGGAGGGTATAGGCTTTCAGAGATGAGGGGTCTTGGAGGTTGAGTGGTTTAGGGTTTAGGGTTTCGGGTTTAGGGTTTAGGGTTTAGGGTTTAGGGTTGCTTTCGATTTTGGCATTAGTGTCGAGGGCTTAGGGCATAGAAGCCTCAACATCTCGCTTCCTGCGCAGGGGACGGGAGCGTTTAGCTTTGAGGATATCTAGGCGCCTGTGCCTGCAACGTACCCTGAAGCCTTTTTTAAACCTAAACACTAACCCTATACCCTACAACCCTAAAGCCCCTTTAACCCCTAAGCTCAAAACATGGGCCACCCTACTGTGGGTGGGCGGCGCAACCGATCGCGAAAGGCGCCAGCCCGCTCTGCATGGCCAGCCATGGGGAGAGCGAAGCACCCACCCGGTGCCCGAACACCTTCTCCCCCCTCCACCCCACGCCTGCCTTGGCAGGGGCCCCAAAATGGGACCCTCACGGGGAAGCTCCCAAAAGCAGACTTGCCCTGCCCTGCCCTGCCCCATTGCTGGAAGGAAGAAAAGTGCGATGGCCTGAGTTTAGGCTTGAATCCTAAAACGAATAGGTTTGGGTGGCTTGGCCGCCGTGTACGGCGTCGGGTGGGAAAGAAAGAAGGAAAAAGCCCTCTATAGACCCTAAACGCAGGAATCCGGCCCTCCTGAGACCCGGAAGACTGGGCCGAGGCTGCCCTGCGCCGCCAGCAGCAACCTGAGCACAAGATTCGGACCAAGTCGGGGGCTTAGAGTGTAGTTGAGGGCTTTTCCGAAGCCCTCAGCCGGACAACCCGGTTCGCCATATCTCCCGACCTTGCGGAACTTGACTACTCCTCCTGCTGCTACTGCCCCTCCTCCTCCTCCTGCTCCTCCTACCGCTGCTACGTCTGCTACTGCTGCTGCTGCTGCTGCTGCTGCTACTCCTCCTCCTCATCTTACTCCTCCTCCTCCTCCAACTACTGCTGCTACTGCTGCTGCTGCTCTTCAAGACAAAAAAACGCCCAAGATCCGCCTTGGCGGTTGCTGCCCATGATATGGTCGGCATAGGCAAAAAGCCGGCACTGCACGATGTAGGACAGGGTGCTGCCTTGTCAGGATTTGGGGTTGGGGGATGCGGGATTTCATGCTCAAGGTTTACGTGTATTTTGCAAACCCTAAACCCTAAACCCCTAAACCCTAAACCCTAAACCCTAGATTGGAACCGGCAGTGCATATCCTAAACCCTCTGCTCTCGACCCGGGCTCGGCTTTCGGCATTTGGGGTTTCGGTGAGCTTTAGGGCTTCGACATCTCAGGGTCGACAGCCTCATGATCTTGAAGGTTAAGTTCCGGGTTCTGGCTTAGGGTTTCGAGTAAAACCGATACCCGAAACCCGAAACCCAAACCGCCTAACCCTGAACCCTGAACCCTAAACCCTAAACCCTCATAGTAGCCCTTATGGAACCCTTTAATGAGCCCTTGAAAGAAACCTAAACCGCCTGAACCTTAAACCCTAAACCCTGAACCCTAAACCCTAAACTAGAAACCTAAACCGCCTGAGCCTTAAACCCTAAACCCTGAACCTTGCACTTTTCACTCCTGGGGATTGGTCTTCCCGGCGCCTGTCACGAAGCCAAGGACGGCCATCGGGTCGTTTAAGTTCACACCTGGACTGCAAGTAGACTCAAGCTTGAGGAGTTTAGGGTTTAGGGTTTAGGGCTTTTAGGGTTTAGGGTTTAGGGTTTAGGGTTGGAGTTTAGGGTTTAGGGCTTTATAAGTTGAAGGTTAGAAGCTACGATTTTGGGTTATAGGTTTTCAGCTAGGCTCAACATCCCAGCTCCAGGGGCAATCTGCAAACTGCTCCACCCCGAAAGCCCTAAACCCTAAACCCTAACCCCTAAACCCTAAACCGTATCACGGCTTTCAGGCCTGCCCCGAACACACACAAATCCTGCACTTCACGCACTTGGGCTTTAGGGTTTAGGGCTTAGGGTTTAGGGTTTAGGGTTTAGGGTTTAGGGTTTAGGGTTTAGGGTTTTAGGGACTTTAGGGCTGCGAAGCTTCAAAGATCCAAGGCGCCATTGATGTAGTCGTGGGCCAGGCTGTCCATGAGGATCCGCGCCGCGAGCTGGTAGAAGCAGAGAAGAGTTGTACTGGCCATGAGCTTCCTCGGGCTGAGGGCGGTTGAGGCGGAGGGCCTTAGGGTCTTTTGAGATTTTCCATGCTAAAAAAACTACTATAAGGGTTTAGGGTTATAGGGCCCATGATGATTAGAACCCGAGGAAAAGGGCTCTGTAAAACTTTCATAGTGGTTTTAAGAGTTTGAAGATTTTTTAGTCATGTCGTGGGCTCAAGCTCACGGAGAAGCGCTCACACCTTGAACCCTAAACCCTAAACCCTAAGTTCCGAAACCCTAAACCCTAAACCTTGAACCCCAAACCCCGGAAACCTAAATGCCAGGCCGGGGACCCGAAATCCGGAATTGCCTGAGCTGGTACCCGAAACCCCGAACCCTAGGATTCAGGGTTTGGGGTTTAGGGTCTAGGGTTTAGGGTTTAGGGTTTAGGGTTTAGGGTTTACCCCAAACCCCCAGGCCGGAGTTTCGTATACGTCGACCACGCGTTGCTTTGTATGCGGATGTCCACGGCCGCCGACCGCAAGCACTCGACCAGGCCCCACGCGAAGGAGGGGAGGTAGGCGATTTCCTGGGGGCTTATGGCTTCAGAATGTTGGTTTAGGCTTTAGGGTTTAGGGCTTTAGGGCTTTGGGGTTTAAGGCTTCAGGGCTTAGGGTCTGGGACTTCGGACGTTCAGAGTTTAGGGGCTTCTGTGCCAGGGGTGCCCTTTCTGACTGCACCTTCTGAACTTACACCTTGCAGCGGCCACGGTTCCGGAAGACGTTTAGGGTTTAGGGTGTAATTAGGGTTTAGGGTTTAGGGTGCAAGGGACCGATGCGCCCCAGCGTCCCTTCGTGTCAGCTCCCTTGTTATTCCTTAGAAAGTTCCGCATTACAGCTCTAGCATAACATACCCCAAAAACCCTTCTCTGTTTGTTCATAAATAGATACTGGCACACGTTTGACCATCAGGTGGTTCTAACCCTAAACCCAGAGCCTACTCCACAAGGTCTAAACTGTCTAAGCCATCCAAAATCTCGGGAGCCAGGCACGACGAATCTCGGCTGAGCATCCGTGATTACGTAGTAGGCGCGTAGCACCGTGTTCTCCTTTAGCCAAGGTATCGTCACACAGACGGTGTCGGAGGTGTTGTGGGGCGAAATCTTTGCCAACCCCACCATCTGAAGCACATAGATCCTCGGCACGGTTTAGGGTTTAGGGTTTAGGGTAAAAATCGGGATGGTTCATGTCGTATCGAAGGGCTTCAGGTGACATGGACTCTTAGTAACTTCCTACTAGTCTTATAGAAAGGAATATGTGTATGTATATATATATATATATGTTTTTGTACATGTGTATCTATATATATATATATATATATGCGCTGATAAAGTCTATTGCGTCAAGGCTCCCAGGACCCTAAAACCCACACTCCTTAACGCCTACGTCCGTAAACGGTCCTAGACTCCAAAGGCTGCAAAGCCTAAAATCCGCTGAGCTACGTATACATAGGTGCATATACACAGATAATACTTACATATACATATATGAAGGTTATGCATGCATGGATGTATGCATGTCTCTTTGATGTATGTATGTAGGTATGTAGGAATGCAGGAATGTAGGAATCTATGCATGTGTGGTTGTGCATACGAAAGACCCTGGCCTCCCTTGGCCTCCCCTAACTGCGTACAAGGGCACACCTAGGGATTTTTGGTTTAAGGTTTTGGGGCTTAGGGAACCCTAAACCCTAAACCCTAAACCCTAAACCCAAAAAAGGGAAACCTAACAATTGGCCGCCCAAGGATCAGGAAGCAGCAGGTGCAGGCAAGGACTGCGGTGGAGTTCCAGGCCGTCGGCTTGGGCACCGAAGGGCTGGCGTCCTGAGCTCGTCTTAACAGTTTGGGGTTTAGGGTTTAGGGTTTTGGGTTTAGGGTTTAGGGTTTAGGGTTGCCTCCTTGACAGCTTGGGGTTTAGGGTTTAGGGTTCAGGGTTTAGGGGCTGTTGAGGTTTTGGGTGCAGAGTTTGGGGTTTGAGGTTTAGTTTAGGGTTCGGAACTTATGGCTTAGTGCGGTCTACAAGGTTGTACGACTCTTGTTGTGCACTTCTGGAGGAGCTTACGGGCTTTCCACAAGAGTTCTTAGGGTTTAGGGTTTGGAGTCTGGGGTAAGGGTTTAGGCTTGGCTTTAGGACTAGATAAGGTCTACAAGGCAGTGTTCTTAGGGAGCTTAACGGCTTTTCTACAGAGCTCAAGAGGAGCCCAGGATCACCCTCGAAGTTCGAGGCATCCCGCAACTCGACCATCTCCGCCATCGTCAGCGACAGGGAGGCCTTCTCCCTGCTGCTTGAACGCCTAAACCCCCAAGACCCAAGCCCCAAAGAAACCCCAAACCCTGAACCCGAAACCTCGAATCGTAAAAGTTTAAAAGCCTGGGTCAAGTGACCTGCCTTTCTAAGGTCTTTACAGAAGGAAATCACAAGAAAAAAAACCCGACCCTAAACCCAAACCCTATACCCCTAAACCCTTAACCCTAAAC